CTTGATGTTGAACCATCAGACACTATTGACGCTGTCAAGGCTAAAATTTAAGACAAGGAAGGAATCCCACCTGATTAATAAAGACTCATTTTTGCAGGAAAGTAATTAGAAGATGGAAGAACACTTTCAGATTATAACATTTAAAAGGAATCAACTCTCCACTTAGTTTTAAGATTGAGAGGTGGCTAATGATTTTCTCTGTATATTCATTCATTAACTTTATATATCATTCATATCATATGTTATCATATTTTATCTTTTGATTCTATCATTAACAGTATATGTAAATTATCAATGAAATTAATTTTTCATATTATAATTTTCTATAATTTATTAATGATTAATGAATTCATTAGATTTTGATGTTTTAACAAATCTAATTTTAATTATTACGATATTTACATAAGTTCTTTTAAATATTATGATTTAATTATAAATGAATATGCATTTTTTCTTAATTTTCATAAGAAACAGAAATATTCAATTGGTTATATTTCAAACAATTGATGTCTTAAAGTATAAACGCATATTTTTCATTTTGAGATTAAAGAATGTGGGATAAATTAGATATTTTGTAACGAAGTGTATTGATAAGAGTGAAAAGGTAAAGTAAAAATCCAAACTAAAAATGATTTAGAGCAGATATAATGAAGTAAAATGCCCCAAATTTCTAAATCATGTAAAATTAATATACAGTAAAAAAATTTAATGAAAAACTTTTTATTCAATTCAATAATTAAAAAAATTAGTTAAGCTTTATAAATCATTATTTCATAAAATATTTAATTTTTAACCTTTGAAACTAGGAAAATAAAATTAACAAGCCTTCAGGCTTGGATAATTTAAAAAAAAATTAATTATTATTGAATCGAAATCGGCAATTTCGCTAAGAAATAATTAAATTTGACTGGAACATTTTAGATTTTTTTCTAATCGTAAATCAAGTTTGATTTTTTATAATACCAATATAATTGAAAAATGACAACTTTAAATTATCAAAAGTAATTTATGCTCATGATGCTTTTTAGTATGCTCATTGCTAACATAAAATTTAACTTTAAGAGAATCATTTAATTAAAACTAGATTTTTCATTTCAACCTCTTGAGTATTTTAGAATAAGTATTATTCCATTAGTCTATTTTCCGAATTAATTATCATATTTCTAATTTACTGATACTTCAAAAGTTTTAATTTAATTTTATCCTTGGTTGACTCTATTTAGCCTTATGTATTTTTCGTTTAATGATTGCATTTTTAGATTTTAACCATATTCTCATAAGAAAAAATCTTGTTATTTTATATTTTGCCTTATATGATTTTCAACGAAAGTAACCATCAAATTCTTAGTCAAAAGAAATAAATTTAAGTAAACTAAATAATACTATATTATTGATTTGATTACGCCCGAGGAGATTAATTCACATTAAAAAAATAACTTCTTAGTTTTTCATGATAGTGTTATTGAAAATTAAACTTTAATTTCAGTTGGAATTAGCATTTAATGGTCAAGCAGAGTTGATCTAAGTTTGGTATTAATAAGGTACAAAAATTAATCTTTAATTATCAAAATATGAAATAAAATTCATTCAAATCAATAATTGTGAATACTGGTAATATAAAATTTATCAATAAGAATATTTAATTGTATTCTTTAAAGAACTTCTAAGTTTTTTATAAATCGACCAAAAAAGTCAAAATATATAAAATAAAAAATGAATAATTTTGAACTCTTCTTTAAAATTATAGAGTAATGATATAAAGAATGAAGAATCATAGAGTAATTAATAAAAGTATAGAAAAAATAAAACATTTTTTAAAATGAATTTTTTTAATAATGTGAATCTTTTAATAATTATCAATTTCCAGTTTTCAAAGCTGCGTGGAACGTTGATTCAGTTTAGATATTATAGTCAGACACTTTCCTATCATCTTATAAATTTTATCCTGCAAAAATTAGCTATACTAATCATGATTGATTCATTCCTTATTTGATATTTATTTCTTGATATCGCCGATTGTATCTTTTGATTGGATATCTAAAGTAATTGTTTTTCCAGTTAAAGTTTTAATAAAAATTTCCATTTTTTCTCCTCCACCATGACCTTATTTCAATTTTTTGATTAAAAGGACTGTTGATTCATGTTATATATTATAATCCAAAAGTGTTTTTAGATCATCCAGTTCACGTCCAGAAAAATCAATCTTTTTTAGTCAAGTGGAATTCCTTCAATATCTTCAATTTAATGTTTTAGTTAATCGACTGTATCAGTTGATTAAACATCAATAAAGACTGTCTTTCTAGTCAAATTCTTGATGAAAATTTACATTTCACCTCTCAATCTTAAAACTAAATGGAGAGTTGATTCCTTTTAAATATTATAATCTGAAAGTGTTATTCCATCTTCTAATTACTTTCCTGCAAAAATGAGTCTTTATTAATCAGGTGGGATTCCTTTCTTGTTTTAAATTTTAGTCTTGACAGCTTCAATAGTGTCTGATGGTTCAACATCAAGAGAGATGGTTTTTCCAGTCAAAGTCTTAACAAAAATTTACATGATTATAACATTTAAACACTTTTATTTTTACTGTTATTTCTATATTAAATAATTACTTAAGATGAATAAAAATAATAAAGGAGATTTATTTTAATTAAATAAATAGCATTTCAGAATCATTAACAATATAATTTATTTTTATTTACTTTGTAGATATTTTCTCTAATTTGATCAATTTTTGAAATGATACTTACAATTTTATTGGGGTTTTCATTTCGATTCATCATTTTTTTCTAAAAATTTTTACTGTGACCATAAAAGATATTTAATTTTGCTTGTAAATAATAATTTATAGAAAACCTTCAGTTTCTGAGATTATAGATTCATCTAAAACACAATCATCAATTTGATTTTAAGGACAAATTTTATTGTGTTTCAATCCTTTTTTCTTTCTATTTAATTAAGCTGACTTTTTTGTTAGCCTTTCTGATAATTGGTTTTATCTTTATTCAAGCCTAAAATTTATTTAAAATTATTAATACTCATAAAAATCCAATTCTCCCAGTTTATGTAAATCAGATGTTTAAACATTACGATTTTCTTTTAGAGCATCTATAAAATGATCCGATGCAGTTCGAAATAACTAGTATTATGTATTTTTATATGATTACTTTCTAATACACATTTATGATTGGTTATTTTGTGCCATTTTCTAGCTTTAATAATTTTATTTGAGATTGAATATGCGCTGAGTCAAATTTAGGTCTAAATGCAAACTTGATAAATACCTAATTAATGCCATATTTTTAGTCCTTGCTTTGATTTTATTCTTGAATACTACCATAACATAATATTGTACTCAACTGATCTGGATTCGAAACTAAATTATTATTTCTTATCTTCGATCTATAATCTTCCGCTATTAGATTCAAATGATTTAAACGTTTATTTTCCTAATAGTCACTTTTAATGTAAGTTCTCAATCCTTAATTAGAAGATTTTCTTTCTGATAGAGAAGGTTAAGTGTTGAGAGTTTTTTTGATTTCAGTGTAGTTTTAGTCATAATCAACAATAAATTCTTTAATGTCATTGTAATCGATGATTGGTTCTTATTAGTTTATTGTATTAGCATGATGAAGAGTTTTCCTTTTGGTAAAATTACTCTAAATATTATAATTTGTTGTACATTTCTATACTTTTTTGTTGGCAAGCTGTTGTTATATTTAATAACATCAATGCAAGTAGTTTATCCAGAAAGGTAGGCTTCAAATTTGTTTTTGAAATCATTAATCTGTAATGGGATTTTATATGTCCTTCTTGATTCTGCAGTAGTTGTTGCTCTTTAACTAAATGTTTAATCAAAGATAGATTTTTGCCTTTTAATATTTTTCATATTATAAAATTCTTAACCCATAAAATATGTATCAATGAATTTACTTATTTATTTCAGGTAAGAATCAACTATTTTGATGATGTATATCTTCAAGAAATGATTTTCATGATTATCATTTTGCTTTCCTTCGGCTGATTTATATTTTTATATCATTCATAATGGTATAAAATAATATCAATAATTCTTTAATTTAAGTATATAAATCACATTATTAATTCATATTTACCAAAAGGAATATATATTTGTTTTTCCTATCTAAATTTAAAAGCAACCAATTATTTATAATATTGCATATCTTCAAAATATTGTTTGCTAGTGCAGTCTTAATCGCTTAATTATATGATAGCATAAAGTCCCCATTCTAATAATTCTTATGAGTTATTTGCAGATAACTTAATATATAAAATAATAAAACTTACTTAGACAATTGAATGCAATCCATTATCATTTAGATTCGGAACTAAAATCTTCTCCACTTTTGCCACATAACTAGTTTGGAGCTCTCTTGAATCCAATCCATCTAATAATCTAATACCTCTCATTTTTGTTTATATTGGGTTTGGTTTTATTTATTTTTATTCGCTCCTCCAGGCTTTAAAACCTAAATGAGAGAAGAGTTTTTCAGTTAGCGATAATCTTTGCTTTTTATTTGATTAATCATGTTAATTTTTTAGTTCTTCTTCTAATTCTTTAACTTATTCATTAATAATTTGTTCAACTTAAGGAACAACCATTTCTTAATTTTCAAAAGAATCATTATTTAATTATTAAAAGGACTTTGTCAAATCGTCAATTTTTTTTTTCAATTTATCATTAGATAATGTATTTTCTTATTCTTTACTAGACTCAATTAAATTTAAAACTTAGAATTTTTTTTTGTTACTATTACTCTATTAGTTCTCTTTATCTTCTTAAAATTAAACTCTAAGTTATTTTCTGGAACATTTAGATGCAGATTAATTTATTAATTGTTATTATTCTTGTTCAGATTTTGAAATAATCTAATTTGCCTATTATTGAATAGATTTCACTATGTAATCATCTTGATAGTTTTTTTACATTGTATTAAGGATGTTTCTTTATACGAAATCATAGTATTTAGATTTTTCTTTACATAAAGAGTGAAACACAACTAAAATAATGATCCATAAGTTATTATCTTTTAATAGTTTCTCACCTAATTGTGTTTTTATTTCAGGAATAAACACTTAGAATGACAAATGTTATCTCAAAATACTTGATTCTTCTGTGAGTAGTTGTATTGCAAGATCAAATGAATTATTCTTATTTTACATTTCAAATACTATCTACGACATTTATTTAGTAATCATATCACTATCATGATATTAAGAATTCTTCTTTGTAAGTTTAGCTGATTTGTTTCCTGATCTGAGTGATTTCTTAAACAAAATATCGCTATTGCTATTCCCCGGTTCAAACATAGATTTAAATACAAATAATTTAACGAAACACTGTAAATTATTATTATAAAATTCATGAGAGAAATATTAAATATTAAAAGATAATCAAGTATAATAAAGTGGTTCTATTTAACTTAAATGTATTTATCTAAAGTTTAGAATATATAACATTATTATTTATTATAAATTTTAATAGAAAATCAAATAAATGCAGCTTTTGATATCAACTATTACAGGAAAAACTATTAGCATCCCTTTTGAGCAATCAGATAATATAAGATTAGTTAAGCTTAAAATACAAGAATAAGAAGGCATTTCTTTTAATTAATAAAGGATAATATTTTAAGAATCTGAATTAGATGACAATAAAACACTTTCTTAAATTGGGATTACAAACAATACAATATTATAATTATTATTAAGATTAAAAGGAGGGGGTTAAGTTTTTATCAAAACAATGGCAGGGAAAACAATTACAGTATCTGCAGAATACAATTAAACTATTAAAGAACTTAAGAAGACCATCTATGAAAGATGTGGAATTCCACCGCAATAACAAAGATTGATATTTGGAGGAAAGATTTTAGATGATCAAAAGAAAGTGGAAGATTACAATATTCAAAAAGAATCAACAATCCATATGGCAGAAAGATTAAAAGGTGGAAACTCAACTATATATTGAAGAATCTTATTATTAAATTATGATTATTTAATTATGCAATCCATTTAAATTAGTCTTAGATTTCTAAGAGTGACATTGAGGGATTTAATTTTTATGTATATTTTCATAAAATGATATTATTGTTATTTTATAATTAATAATAATAATAAACATTTTTAATTTGGAGTTATTTTTGTTTTGAGATATTAAGTTTCCCTCGTTATTTTTGAATATACATTATGGATATAAATTATATAGAAATTAGAAGACATAGCTTAGATGATTTTGATTAATAATCGTATTCACAATCTATCTGAAAAATTTGTAAATAGTAATTGATTATAAACAAAATCTCAAGAACAAGCAATACATAATGCTCTACTAACATTCTGTAATTACTTATTATGAATAAGATTAAGTTAATTTAATTTCTATTTTTTTATGATACTCAGCGTCTTCCTAAAATTCGATTATAGTTTAAAAATAGGTACAAAGTTAGATACACTTTTAAGCAACCAAGAATATCATGATATTTTATTAAAAAGCAACTAATTATTCCTTTTAAAGGATATTAATTTTCTAAGGGTAAACTTATAATATAATATTTTCTATTTTCATTTCTTTCTGTCCTGTAAATATTTATATATATATATAGTGTATAGTGTATAGTAATAATGATGATGTCTTAATTATTATATATAATAAAAATAAGAAACTCACACTTTAATAATTAGTTTGATTCCACTAAAAAGTGCTGCAGCAGCTAGTCCATAGATAAATCTATTGTCTCTATTTTGAAGATAGGAACATAGAATTGCCAAAGATGGAAAACCAATGCCTGCACACAAATAAAGAGGCATGATTGTCTGATATTGATAATTCAAAGAGAGTTTCTGATTAAAATATTCATCAATTTTAGGATTTTCAGTTGAAAATATCCAGTCTCCTTTGTCTAAGGTACAATCAAGTATTCCTTCATAAGATTTACTGTATAATTGTTGATATTATTATTGTATTTATGATTTTTAATTGAGTAATTCCTTTGATAACATAAAGTGATTATACATCTCTAATTTAATCCTCACATGTTCTCATTTAGGAATAATATTAGTAAGTCAAATACATTCCATATGAGAGAAAGAGTGCATGCCTGACTGTAATTTTATAATCAATGGTAAATGCTTATAAATTGTCAATTAGTTTGATTTATTTCATTTAAAAAATTAATAAATTATATAAAATTTGTTTGATTTATTTTCTATTAGATAAGAAGATGATCATCATTTAGATAATTATAGTAGCTATATACCTGAATATTAAAATATAAAAATAATCATCATTGATTATTGAATTGAAATTATGATGGATAAATATATACTGGCACTAATATAGGTTAAGGATATATATTGGAACTTAATAGAGATAATTTTCATAAAGTTGAACATAAGTAAGTGCTTATTAAACTTAAGGTTGTTAAAATGGTTATTGAATTTCAGTGATATTTTATTGCTCTTAAAAATTTAAATTCTAATAGCTATCTTCTTCATTCAACTTTTATTTTTTCTCAGGCACTATATAATATGGATTTTTAATGTTTAGATATTTGTGTCTAAGACATGAATAGAAATGATTTTTAACACTATTCTCTGATCTTGAGTTAAGTTATTTAGTAATTACACTCCACTTTCCTCCTATTGATTGATAAAGTTCAACAATCTTTTTATCCTCTTCAATACTCCAAGGGGAAGTGTTAATTTATGGATCCAATTGATTAAGATAATGTTCTCTAACCTTTTTTCCAGATCTGTTTTCAAAAAAAGTACTTATTAAGCACCAATTAAAATTGTAAACATTTATTAACTCTAACAATTTCTCATCTTCTTCTGTTGTCCATGTTCTTCTTAGTTTAAATTCTTTGATCCGCTTCCATCTTTAAGAACATTAAGATGGATTACGACCCTCAATTCTCCTTGCAACTTCAATCCAATCATAGTCTTTTTTTTTTTAAGTTCAGCCAGCAACCTGTCTTCATCAGGTGTCCATGGTTTACGTTATGATTTGGATGAGTTAGAATTTTATGACATAATTATTTTAACTTTGAATTTATAATCTAGTTATTTTAGTATTTATTCAGTTTATTGTTCATACGGTTAATTTACAATTAAATTTATAAAAAGTATTTTGAATAAAAATTCAAAGATTAATTTTATTTTATAAGGCATTTAAAAAAAATGATTTTATTATATTTTTTAAGAATAAATACACACAGATATTGTGTTTCAAAGATAAATTTGAAAGAAAAAACCTTTTTACTCATTATTTATTAAAATACTGTTTTTTTAAATAAAATTATTCGATAATCAATACAAAATAGCTGATAACATACTAGTTAATATACTATAAATAAAAGTAATTACAATATAAAATAAGAATATAATAATAAAAAAATTTAGTCATTTTTTAAGAAGCTATTATAATTCTTTTATACGATCTAAGCATTTTTACAATAATTTTGCCTATTGTTTATAAAAGATTTATGGTGCCATATAAACAACATTAAAAATTTATTGAATATGTTGATAATATTTTATTATTGAAGAAGAGTCTGGATTTTACAACAATCTATCCAGTATTATATTTGCTATTTAACAAAGCTCTCGCAATTATAAATATTCATATGTTGTCCACTTTTGTAATTAAGCCAATTGCATCATTTATTTAATTCTCATGATTTCTTTGCATATTCTAATGTATTTGGCTTCAAATGTTTCAATTATGAAATTATCCCCCATTTATATAATGTATTTATCTAAATAGTTATCATTTTATCTTTTTTAAGGTCTTTAAGAATTACAAACTTAAAGATGTTAATCAGACAATTAAATGGATATGTATTGATCACATTACAAACAATAAATTAATTATAATTAATTAGAAATTGGCTACAAAGAAGTATTTTAAGGCAAGCTATTAATTCCATATTCTAATTTTAATTATTATAATAATTCTGATGAATTATTAGATTCGTCAATAATTATGCTTTCATTAGAATTAAATGGTTATTGCACTTAATATTATTATATTACTGGATTTTCTTGATTATTTATTTTAGGATTATAATTAAATGTTGGTTAATTATTAAACTATTCAAAAATTGGCTTTTCAAATATTTATTTTTTTTAATGTGAAATTGAATTATCTCTGCTAATATTGTTTGGACTATTCATACAAATACAAGGGGATATTTATTGCCTTGGAGATTTGGTTTATAAAATAATTTGATTTGACATTTAATTATTAATGATTTATTTATTAGAGGGAGATTAATATTATTCTGGAGGATTAATTTATGATGGAGATTATTAAATAAATGGATTAAGCTGGCCAGAATTAATTCCAAAAGTATTATTATCTTAGGATTAATTTCTTTTTGACATATAAACTTGAGGAGAAGACTACTTACTAGATCTGTTGTGAATTTGAGAGTAGTTGAGTTAATTTTATTGGTGTTATTCTATTAATTTTTGTTCTTAATAGATAGGTTTTGAAGCGTGATTTTAATAAAGAGGTTAAGGAGGTTTAATTATATTATGATGTTAGTTAGATAAATTTGGTTTTTATTGCTCAATTATTTAATGTTACTATTGGATTAATATTTCTCTTTATTACTATTAATTCATATAATGATTCTAATCTTTTTATTATTCGATATTTTGGATCAATAATTCATATCTTTTCTAGTTTTCTAATCTTTATTATTATAATTCATGTAACAATTATTGATATTCATTTCTTTGATTAATATTCAATTAATTAATATTATAAACCATAATTTATTAGATGTTATCAATTTTTTATAGAATTTCATTATATTTTAGATAATTTTCTTATTTTTATTATTGCATATTCATATCTAACTCTTTGTAATATTGCATGATTTGATGATATTGGTTTTACATATCATTTTGATTGACTTATTATATGACACTATATTGTTGCTGTTTTGGTTAATTGGATATGGGAGAATTAAGTTAAGTGGAAATAGTTTATAATGAAGGAGGTTTGATTAATGGAGGAGTATAATATCGCTATTATTATTGAATTTATCTTTCATGAAGTACAACATGTAAGTATTATTCTTAATTTTAAGGAACAGGGGAAGGTTTAGGTATTCTTGGAGGTGTATTGTATTGATTCAACATATAAAATTAATTATTTTAATGAATACGCTTGATCATGTTATAGAGAATAGTGTTAAAATGGGTAGACTTTAATATATTGTTCTTTTGATAATCTCTATGATAGATTTTGCAGATGGAATTGAGAAAACCTTAATTGTTACTCTGCAGTCAATATTAAAAACATAATGGAAATTAAATGATCTTGATATTTAATTGATGACAAGTTCATATTTTTTAGGAATTGTTATTGGCACCTTATTGTGTGCATTCTATGCTGATCAAATTGGTAGAGCAAAAACCTTACACTATTCTAGTCTATTAGCATTTCTATTACTTTTATGGCATAGTTTTGCATAAAGTTTTGAAGAAATTCTCATTTAAGATTTTTCTTTGGTGTAATCTTTGGTAGAACTATTCTTTTGGAAATGTTGTCATAAGTGATATTGTGCCAGCTATAATCAGAGGTTAAGTAATAACAATTGTTGCAACTGTTTTTATTGTTGGAAAGATATATTGTACAGGATTGTAGATGATATTGTTAGAAGATTACAAATCATGTTATTGGAGAATGTTATTAATTGTTAATAGTATTCCACTTTTATTATGTTTTATATGTTCTCTAGTATATTTAAGAGAGTCTCCTCGATATTACTTTACAAAATAGAATTACGATTAAGGTTTCTAAGAATTAGAACATATAGGTAAAGTAAATAATGGAACATCATATTAATTAACAGATGAATAAAAATAGGGGATATTAGAATAATAATAATAAATAAATTAAGAATAAGAACCTATTAAGACTGTAAAGTATTTATTTTCAAGATAATATATTAATTTTACTATAAGAATTTGGATTGTTTTTATGTTGACTTCAATTATTGAAACAAATATTATATTATTTAATACCTTTTTGGTTAGGAGATTCTCAGGGATTTGTGGCTTAAATTTATATGATTCTTGCTGAATTAATGGCTGGCATAGTTGTATATTTCATAATTGATAGTAAAAAAGCAGGAGGTCGATCAAAATTAGTATTACTCTTATCAGTAATGATATTAGTAACAAGTGTTATATTAATAATTTTTGAAGATTCTTTTCTTGTTTATGGATTAACATTAATTTCTTTTTGCTTAAAGTGATGTTTACAGCAGAAATGGTAATAATGAATGAAAATTATACAACTTAATATCGTTTAATGGGAGTAGGAATGACTTACTATTTTATCTGCTACACTGCCATTCGATATGACTCAAGTAGAATTAGATAATATGGAAGTATATAAATAGAAATAAAATAAAAAATCTCTAGTTAATAGTTAATGAATCAAATATATATATTAAATTTATTATGCAAAATTAAATATTAACAAATAGATCAATAGTCAAATAGGACAGGATCTCCAAAATATTATCAAACTATAAGACTGATATAGATAAATATAGCCAGTAAAGCTTTAGAATGCTTAGTTAGAAAATTAAAAGAAAAGTACATACTATAGGTATGATAAGATAGGAAATCAAATTAGTGATAATTAAAGTAAGTATCCCATTCCCAAGAATAAAACTGATGTTTCCAAATTCTATAGTGATCATTCTAAAAGCCAATTCCAAATCAGTGTTAAAGATCTACTCATGCATAAAAGTCAAATCTAAAAATTATAATCCATTAAAACTAAAGACAACAACAAATAAATGGTTCCAAGAATAAACAAAACATAAAATGATATATTTAAAAACTATCTTGCCCAAAGAAATATTAATGGTTCTAAAACTTATAGAGACTCAAGTATTATCAGTGTCTCTACTTAGGAGATTTAGATGTCCGAATCAAATTGAGTGACAAAAGTATACATTCTCAATAAGCCTTATTACAAACTCTAATCAATAAGAGTTATGAAAATAAATTAAATGAGCCAAGAGATTCCCCAGAATTATGTTATGCCTCATAACATATATTTAAAATGCTTTAATAATCAATAAATGGATAAAGTAGTCTCCTTCTTCGTTCTGGTAGTTAAGGAAACGTTGTAAATACTTCATAATCCAATAATAAAAGTGCAGATCCAAAATTTAACAAAATAAAAACATTTTTAGAGTAAACAAAAACATTTCATACTACTACTGATCCATACAAATTAACTACAGATCAAGAAAGAGCTTTTACAAATAAAAAGTTTATTTAAGTTAATTAAAGTAAAATTTAATCAATTTTAAAAATTGCTAATTAAGTAAAAAATACTTTAGATGCATTTAATTAAATATTAAAATAATAAGAAAAAACATCATCTAAACTATCAAATCTTATTTCTAATGAATGTAAATTATATTTATTATAATCAAGTGTCATCTAGAGATAGTATCGAATCAATCTAAACTTTAGAATGAATATATTCATATTAAAATATAATTAAATCACTTTAAAGTTTTAATTCCATCAAAATGTTTAATTTTCTCTGGTATTAAATTTTTGTATAAGATCCTATTATCATCAGGACATGGTTTAATCTATTACTAATTGTTTGATAATTCAACGACCTCTTTAATCCATGAAGAGTGAATAACTATTTTTATGGTAAAATGATTTATTAAGGTGTTGCAATATTATTAAGTGTTTCAATATGGAATGATTTAGGTATGAGCTGCTTTTTTCTAATAAATTTTGAATCATACTCATTATAAATTTATTTATTATTTTTATAAATCTATTTCTTTTCTCTTTATTTATTCAAATTTTATTCTATAGTATCAACCTTTCTTAATTAAAAAGAATATAAATTATTCCTCTGATCAATTTTTTAATATTAATTTTTTGAGATTATACTTCCAGATAATAATTTCGAGGAAATCATTTTTGAATAAATGTTCTCAAACAATTCTATTTCCATTAAATCCAATTCAGTTTAAACACAACAATCTCTACTAGTTTTTAAATTCATTATGTTAAATTATTAATATAATAAAATCATAATTTATAGAATTAATTATTAATCTTTTATAATTCTTATTATATGAGAAAAAATTAAAATAACTTTGTTGATAATTTTATTAATTCAGTACTAATAATTTAAAACAGATAATATCATATACTAGAATGAGATTATCTATTTTATATTATTAATACTGAATTAAAATTTCATCAAATAATATCAAATTTTTATTGATTAAAATTTAATAATATTTCTTCATTGAAGTTAGTAATTATTTGTTCATTAATTATTATTTATAATTGTTGTCATCTAATAATCTATGTAGGTAATTTAGAAATTTAAAATTTAAATTTATTTATAATTATGACCCTATATTTTAATATTATTTAAAATAATGTAAACAACTTTACCAATTATAAGATTGTAAAGTGAGTACACATTTAAAAAGGATATTAGTCCTGTAATAGAGTTACTAGCAGAATTTATATTAGTTGAAAAAGCTGGATAAGGTCGGTGAAATTTGTAAAATTTATAACACAATCACAAAAAACTTTACATGCTTGTAAAGTAGAATTTAAAGACATACTAAAATAAAATCAATAATCATTATTAGTTAAAGAATATAATACATTAGAATAATTGAAAGGAATACAAATATATTCCTGAACCTTATTAATTAGTTTAATAGCAAGAATAAAAATTAAATATGATGCCATATTATGGTTCAGGTATGTGCGTATTAAATTTGAAGGGGTTTTGGAAAGAGTTGTGTAAAAAGTAACTGCATGAGAAGTTCTCAGAAACTTGTATAATTAGATTGGCTTTAGAATCAGTTCAAGAAGGAAAATTCATACATAGAGACATCAAACCTGAGAATTTCTTAGTAGGTAGTTGTGGAGATCATAATAATGTTTATTTAATTGATTTTTGATTAGCAAAACCATATATGGATGCATAAGGTATTTTGAAAGTAAAAATTAGGAATGCATATTCCTAAAGCAGAGAATAAGGGAATGGTAGGAACTGCAAGATATAAAAGCATAAATTCACATTTAGGTCAGAATAGAGTAGAAGAGATGATTTAGAAGCAATGTGTTATGTTCTTATGTATTTATGTAATGGATAGTTACCATGACAAAATTTTTCTTATTAAACTAGATAAGATAATTTTTTAAAAATATTGGAGGCAAAATAGAATATGGCCATAGGTTAATTAAAAATTAATATTCTAACAGTATTAAAACAAATTTATGATAATTCAAAAGGATTTAGAATTGATGAATAACCTAATTATACAAAAATGAAAGAATTGTGTAAAGAAGGATGTAATAAATCTAGTAAAAATTAATTAAATTAGGACCTTACTGTTTTGATTTGCGTACATAAAATTGTAAATTAAAATTTATGATGATATAAATGATGGATTTAAAGAATATGCAAATGAATTTTGAAGAAATAAATAGGGTAAATAACTGATTAATTATGGAAAAGTATTAACATAATATCGACAGTTTAATAAATGAAGGAAGAGGATGAATAGTTCTTAAATAAATTTTCTAATATTCAATCAATTAATCGTTTTATCAAAACAAGAATTCTTGAATAATATATTTTAATAGGATAGAGCTAAATTATAGTAATAATAACAATGTTTATTGTTACTTTTTATATTTTTCTTAAAAAATTACTCTATTTATAATAGTTAATAATATCTAATTTAGTTTATATATCAAATATAATAGAAATAATATTTAAATTATATAAATTTATTTACTTACTATTTAATTATTAAAAATGTATAAAATAATCTAAAAACTAGGAGATGGTGTTTTTGGCAGTGTTACAAAAGCACTTGATGAAAGAACTCATGAATTTGTAGCCATTAAATCTTATAGAGACAATTCGATTAAAGATGAATCAAAAATTAAGGAAATTCAAATTCTTAAAAAACTTAATCATCCAAATATTATAAAATTGAGGGATGTCATCAAATAAAATAAAACAATAGCTATTGTACTTGATTATTCAGAAAGAAACCTTTTATAATATTATAAATCTGTTAAGGAAAAGAATAGAACTCTTTGCGAATAGCAGATTCAAAGTATTGTGTATTAAATTGCAAGTGCCTTAAATTATTTGCATAGTCAAGGATATTTACATAGGTATGACAATTAATTAATAATAGGGATTTAAAACCAGAAAATATTATGATTTAAGATAATGGAATAGTCAAATTAATAGATTTTGGATAAGTTACATATTAAAATGAATAACACACTGATTATGTTTCGACTAGATGGTATCGGGTAAGATATAATTATCATTGATTTAGTCTCCGGAATAAATCAAGTAAGAATAATACAATCAAGAAGTAGATATTTGGGCTTTGGGTTGCATTCTTGCAGAATTATATTTATTGAATCCTTTAATACCTGGTACTACAGAAATAGATTAACTTTATCAAATTTAAAATCTTAATTTGAACTAACATTCAAAATTAATACCTATGCAACCATTAAATCTAATTAAAAGTATGCTTGAAGAAGATCCACACTAAAGAATAACTGCAGTTGAGATTCTGCAATCTAATTGGTTATCTTAACCATTCAAGTATTTGCCAAAAGAGCTGGAATTGAAAGATGATACTAAATACTTAATTAGTCCTTAGTAGACTCCAGCAAAAGCAAATAAGATATTTGGTAAGTAAGAGAATAATTAAAATTTAACAAATCATCAAACTAAACCAAATTTCAACTTTAATTAAGTTAAAAATAATCTAGAAGAAGATTTAGATTGTGGTTACATACCTTCATATGCTTCATCATTATAAGGCACAAGTAAAAAGAGATAAATAAGATTATAAACAGATGAATAATAAAATACATAACGATAATAATAGGACATTTAACAGTCATATTAAATTGGTAGTACAAATAATTAATAATAATAATCAAATACTAAAAACTTTTATTCAAAACCGTATAATTTATTTTTAATAATTTAGATTATTAAACACCTCCAAAAAATAAGGTAATCAAGCAGAGATATATTGAATGAATATATATATATAATATTTATGATAATAATCAAAAAAAAAGAAGAAATGAAAAACTTAGTTCATTTAGTTAAATGTTTTTTGAGTATTACAACAATGTCATCAGTAATCTATATTTGATTAGTTAATTTAAGTTGTTTAGTAAATTAAACAGGTAAGAATGAACTGCTTGCTTTATCTGATTCTAACAATCCACAATATTTAAATGCTTTAGCTACTAATTCTGAACAAAAAAAACTTTCATTAGATTTAGATGGACTTAAACTCTTTTATCTAAAGAGTTTACTGAAAGTAACTTCATATTTCTTTCCATGAACTTATTGTAAAAATTCAATCATTTTCTTTTCAATTTCTATTCTATCAACATTCATAAGTTTTCTGATTGCTAGTCTAAAATTGGTAAACTTTCGATTACTTTTCATAAAGATCATTTATTTCAATAAATTATGACCATTCCATAAATGTAACTCCTGTATCTGCATTGGCATCAAATACAAATAGATATTTATTAGCCATTTTAATAGCAATTGCCACATGATCATATTTAGTATTTGTAAATACTCTTTATAATTTGGCTCCTGTATTATTGGTTTCAAAAAGAAGAAGATCTCCAGATTCTACAATTTTCAAAAAATACTCTTCTGAAATCACATTAAAACCAAAATATCTTGATACTTCTTATAATTATAATTTATTTTTTGGATGATTTCTGTGTTTATCTAATACAATATTTAAACATCCAACCCACATCTTAGCTTCAACAGCATCTTTAGCTTAGTATGTAATTATTTAATTTAAATGAGGAAACTATAATTTAATGATCTATTTGTCTTATTAGATATTGTATTCAAACTCTTTTAAAGACACAATTTTAATCAATTATGTTTTTTATTCATCATTAAATTCTTTTATTGATTATCTTGTAAGTTCAATATAAACTTTTTTACTCTAATACAACCATCCTTCTTTAACTGTCTAGTTTCCATCTATATAAATTTCAAATAAATTAGAATTATGCTTTTCTACTTTTTTTGTCTTAAATACAAACAGATTACTTACAGGTGAAGTTATAATGATTGCTTATTATGATCTTTGTGATTTTCTTTTGAGTTTATCAGGAGAACATTCAGATCTTTAATAGAAATCAGCACAAAGTATTTCATTATTTTACAATGAAAGAGATCTCTTTCTTAAATCTGTCATCTGTAAAATTAGAGAATTAAAATAATACAATAATTATATTTATTTTGACATTATTATTATATATTGATTGAGCAGTATATCAAAACAATGAATCTTTAGATACATACTTAAATAATGAATAAAATAGTATTGTATATAATTATATATTATATTTTATTATTCTATAAATATATTATTGTATAATAGTAAATACATATATATAAATTAAATTAGATGATTATTGATGATAAAATTCAAAAGATCTTAACATCAAATGATTTCTAAAGGGTAAGTGACAAATAAAAGTTATCCCAATCAGAGTTCACTGAATAAAGTAATAAGAGCAATGTTACAAATGAATTGAAACCTAAAAAGAGAAGAGTTGTAAAATTGAAGAATCAATTATTATCTTCACATGTAAGTCCAGACATTCAGAAACTTTATTATTAATCATAGAAAATAGAGACAGAATAATAACGTACAGGAGATAAGATAATGATTGAAGAGAAGAAACCGATAACATTACCATCTCTATAAAAGAAAGAGTAAGTGATATCAGAACAATCATCTAAAGCTAATTTGAATGATCTTATCATGAATATATAAGAAATATTCCCTCCTGATCATTAACTTTGGAGAGATCTCTAAGTTGGTGATTAAAGTATAGAAGATGTTATTGTATAGAATTAAGATTACTTTTCAGATTTATTAAGTATTAAATATGATATAATAAGTGTTGTATTTGTAGGAAATGGAAATCAAATCCTTAAAAAATAAGAAACTTGGATGTAAAGGTAAATACAGTACATAATACACTGATGATTACAATGATAAATTTATGAAAGATTCTACATACATTAACCGATGGATATATGAGAGAGCAAAACAATCAGCAGCATTTCTATAAAATTCAAGTACATATAATGTACAAAATCTTTAATTATATATAAGTAACATTTTGTCCCTCAAAGATTTGAGAAGTCAGATAATTTTAAACCTGATCATCTACCTAATTAAAATACAATGTCATGTTTATCATCATACACAGCTAATTTTAGAGATTGGAAAAAGTAATATCATGGTATTATTGGACCATTTTATGTATAAAGTGATAAAAAATTACCATTTATTGCTGAGACTAATTATTCTCGTAATTTTGTAACTCAGAAATATGAGAAACAAGATCCAATTATACCTAAACCTCTGTATTTAATAAATATATATATTAAATAGTGGACCATTTCCTGTAGAAACTCAATCTTTAGTTCGTGAAACTACTCATAAGACTCAATTCTCGTTGCCATAGAATAGGATGGAAAATTAATCAATAATCAGTCCTCGAAATATAGAGATGAAAAGTTTTGAAGGTTATTAACCTCACTTCAATAAACAATAATAATCACCATAAGTGATGAATTCGTTTGCTGATCGATTCTTCCATTCTTCAGTTGTATAGTAATTGATGAAAAAGAATTAGAAACAAATTATAAATTGATTTATTATAAATAAAAATATGTCTGTAAGAATTAAATACACTAGCATAATTGAAGCTACGACTGGATTGAAATCGTTGAGTTTATCAAAAAAGAATATATTAGCATTAGGAAGTGGTGAAGAAGAAGATTGGTTACTATTAAATGAAGTGGATGCATAATTTAATTTGCATCCTATTTAAATAGGTAAAATGGAAAAGAGAATGATTTCTCAATTAGCATGGTCTCCATCTGGACTATATTTAGCAACAAGCAATGATAAATTAATTATTTGGTAATTCAATGGCGGCAATTTGTCTATATATCGAACTTATTAAGGACATAAATTGGAGATAACTGCATTATGTTGGTCTCCTGATGATTAAAAAATAGCCACTGCCTCATTAGATGGAAATATCTTTATTTATCATATCAAATAAGATGGTATACAACATAAAATAGATTGTGGTTAGAAAACAGTAGGTATATGTTGGGATCCATATGACAAATATATAGTTTCTTTAAAATTTGACAACACAGTATTCAAATATTATATATATAAGGTTAATTTTTATAAAATTGATAATTGGAAACAAGAAATCACAATTTCCCTCCAAATACAAGGAAAATAATGTACAACAAAAAGAGAAGACAGGAAACTCGATTGGAGTGTAGATTGTAGATATTTGGCAGTACCAAATTTAGATGATAAAGTATTTATTATATAATATTTAGACAATTCCAACAGTAGCAATCTTAGATAGAAATTAGAATTTTTAGGTTGTTAGAACAATTGTAGGTCCTTTCTCATCAATAAATGTTGTTCGATTTTCTCCAATGTTATTTAAGAATTCTAATTCTAATGAATATTTTAGTGTATTTGCTATTGGTGACAATGATGGTAATATAAGTTTATGGTAAATAAATGAGAATTAAATTGATGAATAACCATTTCTTTTGATTAAGGGTCATAAAAAAGCTGGAGAATTAATAGAAGATATTACATGGAATTAATAAGGAACAGTTTTAATGGCTACAACTTCTAAAAAATATATAATTGTTATAGATTTTTAATTGAGTTTGGGTTAAATATTAAGTGAAAATGAGAAATAGTAAGCAATTAAAAGTTTATATGGTGATCTTAAAAATACTATTAAATAAATTCGATTTTATTAACCTAAAATTAATAATGAAAAATTTACAGATATGTAGATAGAAAAAATTGATGTGTAAGATGAATTAAAAAATCAAATACCTGATAGTACAATATAATAAAGAGAAATTCCTAAACAAACATAAACATAATTTAAATAGGTTATTGTAGATGGAAAAAAAAAATTAATTCCTTTAGATGTGAATTCTTCTGAACCTGTTATCAAAAAGGTTGAATAGCAATAACCATTATTGGTTATATAATAATATGAAGTATTACCTAAAAGCTATTCTTTTTAAATGAATAATAAAACACTCTTAATGGAAGTTCAAAAATAATAGTAAAGGATATTCAATTAGGCTGTCTATGGAACTTTAATAAGATGTATTGAAAATAATACACCAAAATGGATTGATTATGTAGAAGGTTAAGTAAAGACTATTCAATATAATGATGAACTCATAATCATTTACACTGATTAAGCTTTACTTTATATTGAGAATCATAAAGGTATTAGATAAGAATCTCCATTTATCTTGCCATTCTTAAGTTAGATTGTTCTTAGTCCCAAAAATCATATCTTATGTCTTCAAAATACTGGAGAATTTAAAGTGATCAATTTAAATTCTAAAACTATTTCTTATGAAGGAGATATCAAAATACTAATGTAACATGTTTATGAATGGATGGATAAAAAATAATTATTAAATGAAGATGAAAAGAAAGGTAAATAAAGCATTGATCCTTTAATAAAAGCAAATCTTAAAATTGATACAGAAGGATATCCATTAGTTGAATTTCTATTTAAGGATTATTGTGTTTACACTTATCATAAATAATTAAGACAATGGATCAAAACTAAATAAATTGATGTGAAGTATTAATTATTTATATTCATTAGCAATCAAAATTATGATATCAAAAATTTAAAAAAATTTAATTTTAATTAATATTAAACTCCTCCTTATAATGATGCTTAGATATATAAGAGATTAATTTAAAAGACTACTATTGAAGATGCAATCAATGATATTCAATAAATATCAAAATTAGAAGAACAATTAAAAATATTTTGGTCTGATGGAGATATTAAAACATATGAGAAAGCATTATATACTTATATTAAAAAAGTAATTTGAGAATTTAAACTAACTAGTTATGTGATACTTGGCCAAATAATTAAGAGAAATTATCTAATATCATTGAAACAATGATTACTAATTAATAATCTCCTGAATATAAATATCTAAGTGAACGGGTATAAGATATGGAAGAATTAAAAAAAAAAATCATTTATATTCTTCAACAATTTCCATAAACAAGAGATTTAATATTGTGTCTTTTTCCAGATCATTTCTGAGTATATATAAATTATATAGATATATATCATTATTAAAGCAATTTATATTGCAGAAGATCTTTTTAAATACGCATGAGTTGATTCAAACAGTTTTCGTTTCTTGAATAATAACTGTTTAATCGATCTAATTCTTACTCGAAATTTGTCATCTTTGGTCTAATTTTATATGGATACTACAGAGCAACTCTTTCCCACTCATCTTATTCTAGACGAGCACAATTTGATTGATTAAATTTAAAGACTGAGATATTCATTAATACCTTATTCTCAATATCAGGATTGATTTTTTTTAATTCCTATTATATTTATTTAAGATCCATTTGCATTTGCTTTGAAGATGGTAAACTATTATTTCTTTCTCTCTATAGAGATGGATGAGAATTCTACATTGATTTTGTTTGACGAACAGCACTGAATTATTATTTCCTCTTCGTTTGATTTAGCTCTCCTAACAATCTTTTTGCTTTATCACTTTTAAGGGAGTCCAGTTTATATAATTTAATGAGAGTCTTTTCGTAATTTACCTGATTCTTCTGCAGGTATGCTCTAATCTTATTATCAACCTTATCAAACAATTAATTGTCATAAGTAAAATCCTTCACTTTACTACTAATACTCCTTTTCTCTCTTACATATGGTCTAATAGATTTGCGAGGAGACAATGTTTCATCCAATACATCGATTGTATTTGATGAAACTTTTGGAGAACCATACTTCATTTAATTATATATTTAATATACACATAATTCATTACTATTATTATTATTTCTTAACTTATTTTATGAATTTATCCTTCTATTTTTATTATTTATACTTCCTCTTTCCCTCTTCTAAATGCTACTTCTGTCCTTTAAACTAAGCTTCTTTGATCTTCTGCTTGTTTATGTCCTTTTATTCTCTCTTCTTTTCCTTCTCATTTTTAATAGTATTCAATCGCTAAATCAATGAATAAACTTCCTTCTCCTTATCAGTCATATTGCTCTTAACAGGTAAATTCTTTTCTACTTATTATCGTAATCTCTCCCTAAAGGATAAAGATTTAACCTAAAACTATTTTTTAATTTAATACCTTCTCCTTACTTTCAAATGGCAGATTCTATTATAAATTATTTGGTATTCTCAAAGGAGCAAATTTTACAGGTACTCTTTCCTAATCTTGATAAGTAGATTCTGGTTTGAATTCTAAAGGAATTTATTTCTCCTACCTTAATTCCCACATGGTCTTCATTAATTTCACATTGCTTGTGATTAGTCTATAGAATCTCTCTATATGCATTCTCACCCAAGTCCTGCAGAAGACTAAATCACTCATTTAAATTTTGTCTTCGAATGTAGCCCTAAAACTACCATCAGGACCTAGTTTGCTTGGTTTTTTTATGTGTCCTCGTAAACCAGACACAGTTTTAATTAGACCACCTTAGAATTTTGCTACTTCGAGAGATGAATTAAACATTCCTTTAATAAATGCAGTATTTTTAATGACTTTAAAAGGTTCTCCAACTAACTTTAACTTTTTCATCACATCAAATTAATGATTCATCTCTAAAACTATTCCAGTGGCAGCGATTCTAAATTTTGACTACATAATTGATATATTTATTTTAATACCAATTTATTACTTAATGACTATGTACAAACAAGCCCTGTTCCCTAAGGTGCAAAATTGCCATAAAAAATAGCATAACAATAATCATATTCTGGAGTGTACTTGATGAAACGTAATCTATCATTAGGATCTTGCACACAATATATAGGGATGGTTTAAAATCTCCTCCATCCAAGAGAGATGATAATTGGATCATTAGATTTCAATATGTTGCTATGCCATCTATGCTTTTTAATTCGAATCTAGAATATATGTAAAGATATACTTTGATAAATCCTAAATTGTCTTCTCCAACTTCAGATCTAGCAAGAATCATAGGATAATCGTCTTTAATAGAAGAAGAGAAATCTTTAATAACTATTTTGACATAAGTGCCTTTTTTATATAATCCAAGATTTGAATTAGTTAATTCATTAACAAGTTATTATCTTTATTATTAATTATCTTTTTAATTTTAATTATCATCTTTTTAAATATTATCTTTCTTTTCTTATTATTCTTATTCTTATTCTTAATCTTATTCTTCCAGTTCAATCTATTTTTCTAAATTTTCCAAATCCACAACATCATTCTGTCCATAAAATCCAGTCACAAATAATTCCTTAATTTCTTTATATGAATCTCTATCTGAAACTTTAGGTATGTATCTTACACTATCAAATTCATTAATACCATTCTTATTCTAATATATTAATTCATGTAAATCAGTAGCTAATAAAGTATCTGAAATAGGCATGACAGTTCCATTTTCAATTTTTATATTAACTCTATTTTTTAATCTAACTAATTCTCTTTGTTATTAAATCTATTAATAATTATTTTTCTTCTTTATTGGTTAATCTTCTTCTAATTCAAATCCCTCCAATAATTATGCGTCTTCTTCTTCCTCTAGTTATTTATCAATTCCTTCAGTTAATTGTTGCAATTCTCTGACCATCCTGACTCCTTCAGGTAATTCCTATTCTTATTCCTGTTCTTCAATTTCCTCATCATCCTACTCTTCATTATTAACAAATTTGTTTTTTTCTGTGAATATTGGTTATGGTATTGTTATGTATCCTGCTGTAGCATCAATAGTTAAAGCACCGACACTGGACATAGGAGCATAAACTAACTTTTCTGTATCTTTCAAAGATCGATGCTTCTTTTAAGTTGTTATGATCTCAACTGGATCTAGGACTTCTTCAAAACTATCGATATAGTAATCTCCTTAACCTACAAAATGAATTCTGTCATTTAATCGATAAGTACATCCTCTTACATATCCATAAAAAGTTGTAGTATTATCTTTACCCTATTCATAACGATCTGCCAATATAAATGGATGTTCTGTTTTCCATCTAACTGGAGCAATCTTAATGATAGATATAAACCTTGCCAAATTATGAATGTCTTATTTCAAATAGTATTCATTCTTTAAAGCCTACAAATAAAACAATTTATAATTGCCACCAGTTTCATATTCAAATCTCTTTTTATACTTCTTTCTTGTTTTTCTTAGTTATTTATTGTCTTTAAAGAAATCAATATGAGTCAATACACCCATAACATTTGGAAAACCATGATTATTCAACAAACTTAAGTACTCAAATGTTTCCATCTCAAATCCTATACTTGCATCAATTAATATTAATGCTAAATCCGCAACCTTACTTAAATCACTCATTGCATTGATATCACTTGGACATTCAATAAATGTGACTCTATGTTATTTATTTGAACGAACTGTTACAGGGCCAACTAATTTCTTTATCTTCTATCCTGTGTAATGTTTCACAAGTGATTTTATTAATGTTGTCTTTCCACTCCCTTTTGGTCCTTATACAACAACCAACAAAGGAGCTTATGATTCTGCTTCTTCATTAGCTTACAATTATTCAGCATAGAAGTCCTTTTGTTATTTTTAATGGGGCTTAATTATCGGGGCTTGTTTCACTTGTTCTTCTTCAGAATCAGACATTAAAATTTATATATTTAAATTGTGATGAGTCAATAACAAGAAGAACAGAAGGCTATCCCTCTTGATAAATTGACACCTCAATAATTGTTGTAGATCAAAAAGCAAATAGAAGAGGTATGACATTATTCTATAAAATAGGAAGTCTAATAGCTAACTTAATCATTGTCTTAATTCCGAATTGCAAATGCTAAATATGAAGAAAGCAAGGTCATCTTAAAGAGATTAGATTAAACTCCTAAAGATAATGATCTATTAGTACCCATTACTGCATCACTATATGTACCAGGTACAAATTAAATAACATAATGAGGAAGATTGATTAATCCATAATCAATTATGATAGATTATGGAACAGGATATTTTGTTGAGCGAAATACTGAATAGGGATCACATTTTTGTGATAGAAAATTATAATTGTTGAAAGAATCACAAGATAAATTGAGTAATATCATCAATTAGAAAAAGTAATTCATGGATAAATTGAATATTGAATTATAGAAACGAGTGATGCAAGTATAATAAATTTAATAGCAATAATAACAACAAAAGAAATGATGAATGATAATGAATTATATCTTAAAATAAAATCAATATTTAATATATTTAACCTAATCTCAATTGTCATGATAATTATTGTTTCTCCTATAGTTTTATCGTTTTCGATTGTTATAATTATTTTTATCTAAAATTATATGAATAATAATAGATATATACTGTATTATTTTTTTTTCCTAGGGTTACTATCACTTCTGCTCCGTGATGACTACTAATTATACTAAATAATTACTGATGATGATGAACTACTACTACTCGAGCTACTAGATACTCTTGTTATTTACGCCTGTAAAGTACTTTTATAGGGAATTCGCTGAAATGAGACTACATTTTGATCAGGTATTCTATATTCACAAATTGTTTTTTCATCAGGAATCTCAATTTTTCCAGGAGGTTTCAAGTGTCTGATGAATTGATCAGATGTATAAACAATACAATATGAATTGGAGGTTTCTTCTTAACTAGAAAATAGAGAATGTTACTTACTTAACTAGTAATTCATATAATCCAATGATGTCGCCATATTATTGGAAGATGCTCAATAATTTATTTGTATTGATTGGGTTTTGTGTTTTAATGAATAATTAATATTATTTGAGTATATCTGAAAAGGAATCTGTCTTCTTTTTCTTCTAACATGTTAGACATGGCACATTCTTAATTTTTATTTACACATTCTTTTACAACATTTCCAATTGCACTTCCAAATATTCAAAAATATGATCTTACTATGTTTCACTTTTAAATGTTCCATCTGGTAATTACTATAATTTCAATCTATTTTTAATATCCATCAAACACTCTTATAAATTGAATTCTAAAGGAATTCCAAAGATATAAATAGTTTCCTTTGGAACTTATACATCAATCAATTCATTACTTGTTAATTACACAGGTTGGATATCAACAATTGGAGGAGCAATGGTCTTCTATTATGGGATGACTTGTAAATTCAAGACTATCGAACTCTCCTTCTTCTTTTTCTCAGGACTCTCTGATTTTGATGATTCTTAACTACTAGATCGATCCCTCTTTTTTTCCCCAAATCTTTACTATCTCAATTTCTCTTCAAGTGCTTATTTATCTGCTTCTCCCTTTTCCTAAAATCATAATGAATGTCATTAATTACCCTTAGCATCATCAAAAATATATCACTGATTGATGGAGTGATCTTCTTTTCACTTTGATGTTTAGATGCCAAATTGATATGTTTCTTACCAATATATATCAATTTGGCATCATTGTCATATCGCATTCCTATAGCTATATCAATAGTCCTTTCATTCTAATTCTTATCTGTTATTTGAATCACTTCGCAAGGACCCTAATCATCATCATTATCTTACCGCCTTCTACACCCTATCTTTCACAAAATTAAGAAATTGATCCTCTGTTTGATTCCCCATATAGAGATTCTTCACAAAGAAATGAATCTTGATTTCTGAGCATTTGCTATAATGCCATTTATCTAACACATTTTAGAATCTCCGTGGTGATTGATTTCGACTCATCAATATATAAAATAAATTAAATATAATCAATTCTTTTTTTTAATATTTTACATTCCAAATGTTTAAGTAGGTTTCCTCTTCTCTCCCAAATCAAAAATGCTACTTTATTTCTTATTTGCAGATTTTGCAAATGGATTGAATTCCTCTTCATCTTATTGGCTTTCAACTCTCTATGACTATAATTATTAATGGTGTTGTTATTATTGATGATGCTATTCTTTTTGTTCCAAAATAGACTTTATTTAACTCATGTTCACTTAATCATTTTATTTCTATAAACCAAATCCTTGTCTCTTTGGAGATTAAGCTCTCTTGTCTATACCAAAATTCTACTATTGCTTTATTATTTATTACTATATATGTTTTAAAATTTTACCCTTTATAGCAATTTTATTTGGTTCAATAACTTTTAGAATTCCTTATTTGTTGTCTATTTTTCTTTTTGCAATTCCAACAAACTGATGATTGAATTCATATCATATTCATCTTTAATATGACACTTAAAAAATTCAATAGCTTTATCCTTTGATTCATTTAAAATCTATTTAAATAAATCAACTCGGAATTTTCGCAACAACTTTTATGTCTCCTCAATTTTGGTTGAATCATATAGATTTTATGTATATCTCAAAAGAATATCATTTTATTTGTCATCATTTCGAGCATAATAGTATTTCCCAAATTCGCTCCATCTATATAATTCATGATTCAGAATGATTAATTGGTTTAGAAATTACTTGTAATTTGCTATCAACTTTTCATCCTAAATTGAACATACAAATGGTTATTCAAAACTCTCTTGAATCATCTCTTATTTCATAGAAGCTAATGGTTGTTCTGTTTTTAATAAACATAGCTTGTAATCTTGAATTCCATAAAGCCAAACTCTTGAATTATGAAAGACTTCTATCCATCTGCCTTACTGATATATCTTGATTGCACCCTTTGAATCTTGAATACTCAATAATCCTTCATCTGAATATCCAATCCATTAAAGTGATGAAAATGGAGTTAAGAATATATCAAATTCTTCAATTGATTTCTACAAATCAATATCATAAACTCTCCCTTTAAGAACTTATTAATTCAACATTGGAGAAGTGTCATGAAATACTATGCACAACAAATGTTCATAAGCACACATTGACACAACTGCCCTATTTGTATTGAATTCTAATATTTATAAACCGCAGAATGAAATTACTCTACATATTCCATGATCACTCATAATTGCAAACCAATCATTTCCAATAGTAACAAGTTCAGCTCCTTCCTCTTCTGGCAATGAGAATTCGAAATCATCTACATCACCTATAAATTATTAGAAAAACACAATTGATTTTCCATCTCCTACCAAATAACCCTATTCATCCAAATCATTTGGTCCCTTTGATGCTAATACACATCCTCTATAATTCAATGTGCCAATTGCATATCTTTATTAATTACCAATCTTAAATTTTTTATAAAATGTTGAATCAAAAAACTCGAATTCAATCATATTTGTATTTTTACATAAAATTATTGTTCCAATGGTATTGTAACACAAATATTATCTACCTCTTGATGGTTGTGTTTCTCCCGGTCTCAAAACATCTTACATCCCTGAATCTATATTTTACTTTTATATTTTATCTATCTCATTTCCCTTTTTATAATCCTCCTACTCATCTTTATTCTCTATTATTTCTTCATCCATCAATTCCTCCTCCATTCTCTAATTATTTTTGATCTTTGATTTCTAATTAACTAAATCTTAAATTGCACTGAGTTTATCTTAATATATTTTTTCGTATTATGTTTTTGGAGGATCTAATGTTGTTTCAATTAGATTTCCATTGCAATCTAATAAATAGCAAATATTTTATATTATTTTCATATACAAAGGGGTGCTTTAGATATTAAATTGCCAATGCAATGATAAATCAGTAAAAGATTTGAAATTCCATAATTTTATTTCGCCATCAAGTGAACATGATCCTATACAATTTTCTTGTATCCATTTTATAATACAAATCTCGCTAGAATGCTAAATTTAGTATTGATTCTATAAATCTTAAGGTTCATCCTCTGTGATAATGTATTAAGCATTCATCTTTCCAGCTATCCAAAATGAATCACCTGAAGGATGAAATTCTGATTATAATTTTTAGAATCCATCTGGAGATATTTATTTGCTAATAGTGTATCTCTACAATAATTGTGGTACTTATGATAATTGATACACTATCAAACAACCATCACAACCAATACTACATACAAATCTATCCTTCGGATCGAAAGCACAACTTAATATCATACCATCATGTCCAGGTTTACATCTTGATATTTTGCCATCTCTGTTTAATATTAATGAATTTTCTTCAGATGCTATTCCCATTATTTTCCCATTTTTATTGTATTTTATCTAAATTACCTTTCCTGTCAAAGTGACGATTAGAGATGGCGTTGTCATTTAGATATCATCGTATATGTCTACTCTCATATCTCCTATTGCAAAAACTTGCGAATTTAAAGGATGGATTGCTAAAGCCAACATATTTGACTCAAGCACAGTTTCCGCGGTTTTTTTGTACTCCATTAAATCATACTCAACTAATCTCTAATTCCAAACTAATAATGCTTTATTTCCGCTGACATCAAACCCACATTATCCTTTTGTCTCAGTTATTGTTATGCTCTTGAACTCTTTTGCACTTTACATATAAAATTAGTTATTTTATTTTAAAATAAATATAAGTAATTAGTATAACATTAATCTTTTATTTTTTTCATCCCTTCTTATTTCTTTCTTAATATTAATAAAATTATGATTTAATTAATCATTAATTTAGTATTAATTGTTATTTTGCTAATATCAATAATCTTCTTATTATATTTCATCAATGATAACTAAGTTATCTTGAACAAAACATTTTTGTTTTCACAATTTAAAGCGTTTAATGTAATATCTATCTATATATATTTATTCTATTGATAATAATAATCTCAATGTTGTTTATAAATGGTTCAATTATTTTGTTAAAAGAAACATATTTATATTTAATTTAATTTTCGACCTGTATTCTAATTAAAAAATATACTTTTCTAAGATTAACAAATAAATTTATTGAATTATAATATATTTTTTAATTCTAGATGCTTGTTTTTGTTCAAGATGGCGTCCTTTTTAAATGATTACTAAAAATTAAAGAAAACATAATAAAATAGAATAATTTAACTTGAAACCAAGAAAAGATTGTAATTAAAATTATGTATTATTTTGTTTTATTTTTTAATAATTTGGTAAATAGAACCAATATTATATTAATAGAAATCAAATTATTAAATGTTCAAAATAAATTATTTCTATAAGTATTTTGTAAAAATAATATAATTATAAGATATGATAATATTATGAAATGATCGCATTATTAAAAATGTAAATAGTAAATAGTTTGATTTATTAAAAAAAAGGATAATTGTTTGAATAGAATGGTAAATGAAAACATAATATTCAATAAACATTATTACATAGAGAATATTTAATAGGATGAATGGAACTTGAAATGGTATAATATAATTAATTATCTATTGATGGAAAACCTTTGCTAAATTGAAAAAGTCAAATATTGG